ACTTTGAAAAGGCATGCAAGAGAGGCCCTGTCCAAGTTCAGGAGTGGGGTGTGATCTATAAAGTTAATTCTTCATTGAATTTTATGAAGCAATACAGTAATAGCATAAAGATCATGACTGGGGATGCTGTTATGGGTAATACCATCATTTAAATGGAGTCTCCTATTGAATCTTTATAATTGATCAATAACAAACCATGCTCCTAGAAATCTATGCTGATCAACAGCACTCATCATTAACGTACATGGTACATTTTGATGACTGTTACTAAACTAATTGTGCAGTATTATGATTAGCACAGTTAGATTAGTTCCACAGGCAGGAAAGACATTAATGGCAAGAGGAGCTAATGGAGGAGTTCATTGCTGTGTTACGCCCAGGCGTGATTGCCATTTAAAAGGGAATGGATGGAACAGGCATTACAATACCTCAGAATAATCAGACTGGGTTTTTAATATTCTTGTAGTAGAAAAAAAAGAGAACATTTTAAGATCTGTTGTAACTGCCTAATTATTATTATTTTTAAAGTAAAACAAATGCTTGAGCCATCACAAACTTACTTGGGGAGATTTAAGGCTTGATTCTACTTTCATTTACAGTAGGACCAAATGACTGTAACTTCCCTGATTGTGGTTAAATTGCTCCTGAATCATAAGACTAAATGACATAAGTGAGATTAGTCTCAGGACCACTGCTGTACTTAGATTTTCTACCAAAACAAAAGTACAAACCATTTCAGATATTGTCAGAAGATCTGTTCCCACTCACTCAGAAAGTTTGAAATCTGACCTATATAAGAAAGTAGACAAAGTAGAATTGTAGAAATAGTACAACTATTTTGCCAAACATTTTCCCTATAACTTTGAAGACAAAAGCAATTTTAAGTGAATGATTATGAGTCCAGCAAACATCCTTGTTTACACAATACATTTCCATCTACCTTTCCTGTCATAGTAATTCTGAGTTATTCTTAATGACTTAAAAGATATTGTAATAAATAAAACCTAAACTTTAGATACCTAAAAAAATAGAAGATATTAAGAATAAATAAAAAAACCCAACAACTGACAAACAATATTTCACAGCATTAAATAGGCCTCAGGAGTCCACATGTAAAGGGCCCTAAAGCAGTATTAAAAAGCCCTCATAAAAATTATGAAATCAAATATATACCTGTTAAACAAAAACATCCTAACAATGTAAAACTGAAACAAATTATAAGTAAAGAAAACTAGGTCATAGTTCACTATATTGTGAAACTTAATACTTTAAGAGGAAAGGAGAGGAAAGGAAAGGAAAGGAAAGGAAAGGAAAGGAAAGGAAAGGAAAGGAACTTATTTTTAGCTTATTGCTTATTCTATCTTTTTTCAAGATCTTGTGAAGACTGAGAATGTAGGTTACACCCTTGTAAATATTAGGCAATCAACATTTCAAATCCCATTTTCTGTCATCATCAATAGGTTAATTTTATTACCAGAGTGCCCCTCCCCACAGCCCCCCAAAAGTTATTGGCAATTGACTATTTTCAATAAATCTTACCTCAATATCCATTCTCACTACAACCTTAAATAACATTATTAATTTATCTTACAAGTCTACTAAAAAAATTGCCTTCACCTGAAAAATTTTTCTTTGCATTTTCCTGTAAATGAAAACTTTTTTAAAAAATCTATTAAAAGTTCATGCAACACCAACAAAAAAAAGGTTTCTGTACATTTGAACCCATTTTTACTCTTAAATTAAACAAATTAAAAAAAAAGGTAAGACAAAGGAATGCTGAATACTGTACAGACTTGCAGGTAACTTTTTTTCATCATCCTGAATGTTTCATTAAGTTTTGCAACTCTGATACTGGGCACCACTTCAATCTTGTTTCCACAGTACAAAAGAAGCTTTTAAAAAAAAAGCTCATCTTGCCTTGTTGAGCTGTCCTGGTACATCAATTAATTGTTCACAGAACTAACATACATAATTCATAGCATCAAGCCATTTGACTAGTCAGATAGGTTTCTAGTACCACACATGCACACTCACACTTCTTTACTGGTGTACCTATGATCCTACACAGATGTTTTATAAATTTGCTGTTTCAAGATTAAAAAATAAGCGCATCAAGTTTCTTTGTACATTCAAGTCACTTTCTAAGGCAAATTGTCTTCTGTATGTACTTCCAACTGCTTTGGTATTTTGCTTCAGTTAACTGACAGTGGACATGGGAGTTTAAGCACATGGACTGGTCAGTTCTGACTGGAGTGAGTGGATTTTTACTGGAAGCATGCCTTAGAACAACAATTCTGTATGTTGAAAGAAAGATTTTAGAATTCTGAATGATGTTCAGGCTACATGCATATTTGGCCTACAATTGTTATTTTATGTCAGTATGCAGAGTTCAAATTAAAGTGGAAAACTGCTAATGAGCATTTAGGTTGTACAACCCTTCCAAGCCACATTCTGCTGTTTATTTTACAGCTAACTTAATTCTGTAAAGTATGGACCTCCTTTGCGATAGCTCAGACTGATACAAATTTAAAACCTCCTTTTCATGTGAGTGCATAAACAAACTGCCGTAAGTGACACAGCTATTGCCATGAGAGTACTAGAGATCTAATTGTTTATTACTTTCTCCTCCTATCCCTGTCTTTCTTTGTGTTTATCTAGAGGGCAAATGCCTCAACCTGGCAGAAGTCATTAGGGATTGCTAGTACATGGTATCCAAACATTCAGCATGGATGAAACTGGATCTGTATTTTTGTAGTAATTTGAACCTTACTATAGGAATCCTGTTATTTCCCTTAGCAATCAGCAAAGACTGAAAAATATTAGTAACTTGCATCACCATGATACAGTATAGCATTTTGCAGGTATACAGCTCAGCAGTTGAAATAGATGGGTTGAATTTTTAGAAGAGGTGTTTTCAAACTGAATAATTTTTGGAAACAAAGTTAAATCTTGTGGTGCATGGTCTTGTTCTTACAGTTCAATCTTGCATGCGGGAAAAGATTCATCTTGCATAACAACAGTGCTGCTGCTTGCCAAAACCATGATGTTGAGGTCCTGCTGCTGCTCATGGGTCTCTTGGTACCATTCCCTCATCACTTCTGAGTCATGGGTTGGGATTAAGGTCACCTGCAACACAAAAAAGGAGAACTCCTGAGGAATGGACAACAGCAACAACTGATAAGAAAATGTCTTTGTATAAAGTCCTGGCCAACAAGTATGATTCCCTTTTGGAAAGAATGGATCTTTATAAAATAAATACTTAAATAAATGGATGGATAAAAGGAAATAAACAAACATGTTGATAAGATAAAATGACTGTAAAGAAGCAGTTTATCAAAATAAAACCTTGGTAGAAGTCCGTAGTCTGCACCAATAGCTCTTCAGATTATAGCCAAATATTTTGTTTACATATTTATCATGTTGGAAAGGAACATGAAGTTTCCAAGTGTATGTGATTACCATATAAACCATGAAATATTCGCTTTCCTACTTACAAACATCCTCCCCCTCTAATTTTTCTCCTCCTCTCCTCTACTCTGCCCTGGTGAGACCGCATTTGGAATATTGTGTCCAGTTCTGGGCCCCTCAGTTCAAGAAGGACAGGGAACTGCTTGAAAGAGTCCAGCGCAGAGCCACAAAGATGACTGAGGGAGCGGAGCATCTCCCTTATGAGAGGTGGCTCAGGGAGCTGGGTCTCTTTAGCTTGGAGAAGAGGAGACTGAGGGGTGACCTCATTAATGCTTATAAATTTGTAAAGGGCGAATGTCAGGAGGATGGAGCCAGTAATGTCCAATGATAGGACAAGGGGCAATGGGTGCAAGTTGGAGCATAGGAGGTAAACATGTAAACATAAGGAAAAACTTTTTCCCTGTGAGGGTGACAGAGCACTGGAACAGGCTGCCCAGAGAGGCTGGGGGGGGTCGGAGACATTCAAAACCTGCCTGGATGCGTTCCTGTGTGACCTACTTTAGGTGATCTTGCTCTGGCAGGGGGGGTTGGACTGGATGAGCTTTCGAGGTCCCTTCTAACTCCTAACATTCTGTTATTCTGTGATACAAACTGCAAGGTTTTCAAACTTGGATCATATATGGTATAGCAAGAGGATGAAATGGACACATGGCCCTGTAAACCATTTCCCAACTGTTTTATTCTCCAGAGACAGGTTAGAAGGGCTAGAAATGGGGGAGCAGCTGAGTATGGAGCAGCTCTGGCTTCCTGTAGTTGCTTTCCAGAGAAGATTAAATTTCCAGGTAGAAATACTAGTGAAGAGCCTACCTGCATGTTATTCTCCCACTGGGCCTTGCCCTCCAGCAGGGAGTCCAGAACAGTCCTGCTTGGCTCCTCAGCTGCAGAATCGTTCCCACTCACCACATAGTAGGATGACCGTACCCTCTTGAAAAACTCGACATCGACATTCTTCTTATTGCTGTGGTTGGGAATGTACACCAGATCCAAATACACTGGAGGTCCTGGCGGCACTGCTATAGATTTTACTGACTTACTATTCCCAGGTTCTTTGGAAATCAAACAACAAAAGAATATATCACAGTCTTGTTAAAAACATGCATTTATTAATTACCATCATAACCACTGAGATTACATTCTTAAAATTGCTGCTGTTGGTTAAACATTACATAGCTACAATTGTATGTACTTGTTCCCTGAAACAATTATGACATTACTCTCCTACATCTAATGACATATTCCAGCTTTGTCGTATGCCAATTACAATTGTACTGGGAGGAAAAAAAGGAATAAAAGTAACTAACTATATAATACAATAAAAACTCAGTGCCACATAACCAACACTTGACTGAACCTTTCCCAGTAATATACTACTATTATCCAACAATTACTACACAGGGGTGTGTTTACTGAACTACCATTCTATAAATGGTATTATTTTCCAAGTTAAGAAGTACAGCTTTTCAAAAGTCTCAGGTATGCATGATTATAAAAGTTAGGGTCACACAGAAGTGGAGAAGACGTGGATGCAGGTGCATCAGGAAGTTATTACATGTGAGCAGAAAGAGGGGCAGAGGAACTTGGGAGAATAGAGAAACTTCCTACAGCAATTACTTCAGGAAACTGAGAACAAGTGTTTGTTTGTCTGCTGGATACTTATTTGGATACACAAACTAGCCAGTTACCACAAAAAGTAGAGGGAAGTATGTTTTTGCTGATAAACATAGTGTAGTATCTGTTCTAAGAAGAGGTTCAGTCAAAAGGAAGTTCAAATTTTAAACACTCACATTAAAAATGCTACCAAAAAAAGCTGCTTTTGCTACACACTGGATCACAGTGTGAACTGACAATCAGGATTCAACCAGTAATTGTATCCATATGATCATAATTTTTGTTTTATTTGCCTTCTCATGATGTTACAGAGGATGAAGTTTGGTAAACTAAATTATCTGAGCCATACACTCTATTTAGGATCACATATTGTAAAGCCAGGAAAGTCCAATACAATTATCTAGTGTGACCTGCCATTCATCATAGGGCAATATGCCAAATAAGCATCATAATATGATAAGATCTCCTGAATTAGAGAGTTTTTAATTAATTTTAACTAATTTATTGGGTATGTTACAAAATCTTTTATCATCTTTTATAATAAAAAATCTGTGATACATCTTTCCGAATTGTGGATACCAACATTGGATAAAATATTAGACATTACATTTTACACTTAAATGTTATTATCAAATAGACCCTTGTCTTCAGCTTTACCATATACCTGAGAAGTATGCTTCAAGGAAGAAGAATATAATATAAAGCTAAAGTGTTGGAGAAATGTATAGCATAAGGAACTGCACTGCTGCTTTGAAAAGCATCTACTAACAGAGACATGCAAATGATGGTGTAAAAAAGGAACAGTGGACCAGTTAAAATGGGGAAGCTACAGATAGCTGAATGCTGGTTTGCTTGTACAGAATCCTAGACTTGCTCCTCATAAAAAACCTTTCAATAGAACAGTCCTGACAACAGAAAATCAAAGTATCCCCAAAACTTAAGATCTGCCATTAGCACAATGCCTCCTTCAGTAATCTAATTAATATTTTATTACTACTTAGAATACACAAAAGTCATTAAAATTATATTAATTTTCTGTATGTTTAGTCATCACTGATGGCATAAGACTTTAACTGGATTATGTGACATACAAGCTCAGCTCACTGAAAGTGCTCTTACTACTGCTATATTTTTTAAAAAATACTCTTTTTAAAATTAATCCAGCAAAGTAATAAAAGTATCCAATGTCTGATAGTACCTTTTCCTCTCACAATATTAAATTGTATTATTTTATATTAAGTGCATTATGTCTATATGATTCTTACAATGAATAAAGTGGTTCACTTCATTACTGATTTCACTTCACCTACAAAAGTGGTACTTTTAATTCTATTAGTTGATTAACAATTCAGAAAGCTAGTATTAATTTCTTTATATTTCATGTACTCTGTCTAATTCTTTACATCTGAGCATCAAGTTTCTCAGATTGCAAAAGTTAATTCAGTTAATTTCATTCATTTAAATGTGGCTTTAACACACAAGATTTATATTTAAAACATGGACTTTTTTGGGGGGTTTGCTACAAACCACATTCTCAGCTGATATTAAGGCAATGTAACTTCACTGCAACAACTAAGAAAATCTTAACATTAGGGAACTCCTATCTGTGTTTACCTGTGGTTGCAGTCTTTGCTGACTTGGACGTTGTTGTATTTGCTGCATTCTTGGTGTCCTTAACTTTGTCTTCCACTCGAGACTTTACTTCTGGATTAGAGATATTTTTGGTTCCTTTCTCCACAGACTCCTTCTTTTTTGGAGAAGCTGTTTTGGAAATTTTGTCTAAAGATTCTTTTACAGTTGGTTTTGGTGAAGGCACTTGTTTTGATTTACCATCACTTTTTTTAACAGGAGAAGACAACTTGGTCTTAGTACTCTGCTTTTTTGCCTTTGTCTTTTCTTTGAGGTCCTTCCTCAAAGGTTTACCCGAATACTGGTCAGTGGGCAAAGTCTCTGGATCAACCATGGAGACATCAGGGTGCCTAGGGGAAGGGCTGTGATCCTGCATTGGGACAGGTGGTGGGTCAATTTGTTTGTATGTAATGGTCTTTTCCGTAGGAATTGTTTCTGACTCATCTTCCGAGTCAATGTTAGCATCTGCAGTGATGGAAGGGCATTCCTCAGTCTCGGGGGGAACATCTGAATCGGTTTGAGATGGGGCAGACTCACTCATGGATGTGGGAGGGGTTTCATCACACTGTCGCCCTTGTTGCTTTACCCCAGAAGGTGGCTGGGCTCCCCCAGATTGAGTTAATGGCTTCTCTTGATGTTGAGGCTGTTCTTCACTTGCAAACCACTCAAGGAGATTTGGGTTGATAAATGATGGTGAAAGTTCAGTTTTAGGATATTTATATTCACTGGAGGACATAAGGCATAAGTCAACATCTTGACGGGATTCTGCTAATGATTTTCCTGGAGTAAAATGTGCACTTGCTTCATAGGAATAGCTGGTAGCTTCGAATGACCTGGTGATTTTCCCATTTGTCTCAAATGAGTAATCTGTGGCTTCAGGTGAGCTGGTGGCTTTCCCTGTTGTCTCATAGGAGTAATCCATAGTATTGGGTGATATGGTAGATTTCCTAGTTCTCTCATAGGAATAATCTGTGGCCTGAGGTGATCTAGATTTTGCAACTGCCTCACAGGAGTAGCTAACATCCTCTGGTGATCTAGTAGTTTTCTCGGTGGCCTTGTAAGAATAACTAAGTTCTTCTGGTGACTTGCTGCTTTTCTCTGAATCTTCTTTTTCTGGGCTGATTAAAGGTTCTGGACTGTGCTTTGTTAGGGGTTCCTGGTAACCAAATGCTTTGATAGAAGACACTTGCAGCGACAATGAAGATATGTAACTAGCTGACACTGCTGCTGTGACTGCAGGAGGTGAATCTGAAAAACTAGGAGAGTAGACAGGAGAAGATTCTCTTGGAGTTAATAGAGAGAGATCAGACTTTGGTGACAGCTTTTCTCCTAGGCTCTGCATCTTTTCTGAAGTAAAAGAAGAATGTAATGACATATCTCTGGGTGGAACAGCACCTGAAAAAGTTTCTTCTGGCAGTGGTGAAGTTAACTGGGAAGGTGTATGAGCTGATGAAGTTGAGGATGAAGCTTCAATTTGAGAAACTGAAATAACTTCTGAAATATCCTTCTCCTGAAAGTAAGATGACTGCTCCACAGGGGAAATCTTCTGTGCAAAAATAGGCTCCTGTATATCTGAAGGGCTATAATCTACTTCTGTTGGCCCATTTTCAGATATATGGTGTATACTAGTGCCTACAGTAGGATAGTCTGGAGATTGCCTACTAAAACCCATTGCTAAAGACTGCTCAGGGGACTCCTGACCAAATTCTACTGACATAATTGACTGCTCAGGAGATCTGTGATTGTGCACTGGAGTTCTTGATTTTGCAGTTTTTTGCAGTGAGAAATCTGGTGGAGAAATTGACATGGGCCTTGGGCACTCTTCCTTAGATGGAGACATGTCTGTTTCCTGAAACATTGTTGGTGTTTGTACAATTGACACTGAAAGGGAATCATCAACTTCAGTAGAGTGGGGGGATCCAACCTCAGCATGCAAAGAAGGAGATACATCATCAGTAGTTGGTTCTGGAAAAAAAAGTGGCGGTAGAGACAGAAGCCACTCCTTCTATATGGGAATAGGTGTCTTCTGCTACAACCTCATCTACTGGAGTTGCAGACTTGTCAGAAACAGTGCCTTCAGAAATTGACATTTTTGTGTCTTCTTTTAAAGAACCGAACTGACCGATATCTATTTGAGTAGGTGAGAGATCTTCTGCTAACTTTCGCTCATCCAAGACCAGAGAAGACTGGGAGCTGCTGGGTTCTGTATCCT